GGCCACATATTTAGAAACACCAAATATCAATTCCTGAAACTGATTATGGAGGGGAAGATTGAAGGAAAACGTGGCATCGGAAGAAAGAAGTATTCTTGGCTTAAGAACATCAGAGACTGGACTGGTCTCGATGCCCATTCACTCTTTAGAGTCGCCCAAGATCGAGACGAATTTGCCAGAATTGTCGCCAACATTCATTAAATGAATACGGCACACTAAGAAGAAGAAACTAATTCTACAAGGAAAAATTGAGGGAGGGCGAAGCCCAGGAAGAAAACAACATTCCTGGCTAAGAAACGTACGGGATTGGTGTAACATCAACGACGTAGCCACCATATTTCAAAGACCCGAAAACGGCACTCTACATATTGTATGAAGAGTACAGACAATCGCCAACGTGGGGTTAAATACAAGGCACAGGAAGAAGAAGAAGATTAATTTTATACGTGTCTTTTTATGTCGAACAGACTTCTTATGTTATTAAATTAACGTCTAAAATATAAACTTCAATCAACAATTTAACTCTCTACGCCACTGCTCTCCGAGCGCTCTCTATTGGCCCGAGCCCGAACAAACAAGGCGTATTATTAGGTATCTAATTAACCGACGCTGTCATCGTTACCGCTTAGTAAGCAAACTTCCCGCTGGTGGCGCTTTTGTTCGTTCCCTCATCGCTTGCCTCCTTTACCTCCTAGGAGTCTCTATCCTCTATCAAAAGACGTGCATAGGTAGGTGGAACGATAAAATAAGCAAAATACACGCAGGAACACGCTAATTTATGTCATAAGTAGGTTGTTTTAAGGTCGCGGAGCTAATTTGAATTCGGTAATGACTTGCAGGCGCTTATTTTATGAAAGGAGAGGAAATTTTGAGGGAATTAGTTTGAGTTAATTAATAATTTTATTTGTCTAGCGTAGTTAAAAGTAGTTTTGTCTATTATAATTGGTATGCGGTATGCCCCCGGATGATCTTTATAAGGGAAAAACTATTAATATCTATCATTTTGAGAAAAATGCATTCTTTATAAAAATTTGCTTGTTCTAAAATGGTTAATCCGGTTTTTACATTTTCAAATTTCCATACCGTTTTAGTTTGAGCAAAATAAAAAAAATTAAAATACCATTGAAAGTCTTAAAAATCAAAACGCGTTTCTATGGTAAAATCATTTCGTTTTCCGGGGATATATCGTAGAGTAAAAACCTCGTTTTTTTAGTTATAGTATTGTTTATCTGTATTTTATTAAAATATTTGTTTTTTTTTACGTTTTATTACTGTAATTATTAATTAACTTTAAAAAATGTCTATACATCTGTGGCGGATTTATCTCTCCAACAAAGGCCTATGGGTATTTCGCCACTGTAAGAATATTTACAAAATAAAATAGTTATTTTTTGTAAACACTGCTGGCCTTAATCCAACGGAGACTAATTGTCAGCAGTCACTTACTAATAAACAAATTTGCCTAACGAACAAAAAAATTCTTAACGTTCCAAAAATATATCTCTTTCCGTCGTCGGAAGCGAAAAAAAATACAAAGAACAAAGAAAAAACTATTTAAAATATCTAAATGCAACTATTTGAGAACACTTTTTTAAAACAGGAACGTCTACAAAAACAGTTGATGTTCTGTTAAAATGACATTATATCAAGTTAAACTTCAAAATTAACAATTACTACCTGATAACAATACTTAATAAGGTAAAAACCAAAAATCTTCAAATTATTTTTTTAGATTATATTAAAAAACTTTCTTTTATTTTTCTTTTAGAGGCTAGCGCTTCTTTCATTATAATTTTGGTATTGTTAAAATCTATTCTGTGCCCTGTGTCCCATAAATGCTAACAGATCTTAGATTTGTGAAAGCCGCCTTTTCTTTCGTCGTTCTTAATCTTTAAGTTCTTTAATTCGAACATTTAAACATCTGGGCAAAAAAAGGATATATATAATTGATCACATTCACATGGTATCTTGTATATTACTATTGTATTTTTTTGTTTGTTGCCCAGTGTTCAATGGTTTAGTGTGTGTTAAAATGGATCTAAGAACCTATATTTTGTGTTTTGAAAGATGTTCGTATGTTATATTGTTTTCCTATTCTTATTTTTTCCAAAACGCCTCGTATGTATGGAATTGTATGATTATGTTTATGATTTGGGGTTTGTATTTCGTTTAATGATTTTTTGGTATTAACGCAACAGTATTTACAATAAAGAACTATTACATTTTGTAGATTTTCTTACTGTGGTGCAAGTACCTATTTTTTGGAGAGATTAATTAACTTAATTTTTACACTGTGACATAATTTTTGTATGTATGATGCGCATGTCATATATGTCATAATACGCAGCTATACATATATATGTAAATTCTAAAACTAAACGTTCTCTAATTATAATATTAATTATAACTAATATTTGTCCACTTACCCGCCTTCAGAGGTTTTACTTTAATAATATGTAAATTCGTTTTCCGTAATTTCGGAATAATCAAAACAAAATAAACAATTGAATTAATGTATTAAAAAATATACTTATGTTAGGTTCATTTTATTTTGATCTTTGCTCCTACGTGAAGCATAGGGTTTCAATAAATGCTCCAGCGAGTTCGGTTGTTTGCAATTGATTTGACATCTCGCCATGATCGGTTTATTACTTCGATCTCCTTTTTAATTGTCTTTTGCCATGTGTGTCTTGGGCGACTAGTTCTTCTATTGCCTTGTGGACTCCACTCAGTAGCCCTACCTCCATTTCCTCAGTTTGATCTCATTTCAGTTTTTTTTACGTGTTAATACTATACTAATAAAAAAAAAGCAAAAAAGATCGACAATGAATTGACATAATTTAAGAAAATGTTTCAACCAATAATTTGTTATAGCATCACTCTATCTTACTATATTTATCTCTATCTATATTCTACTTTGTTTATAATATTCTGAAACTAAGATTATACTTATTAATATATTTTTCTTTTTGATAATAACTCCAAGGGTCATGTGGGTTAAGGTGAAACCCCCAATTCCTAGAAGACGCTGTAAATTATTAATAGCGTTATCGAATCCAGGGTAACGATTTAGAAACCATAAACCTTTCCAGGATCCGCTCTTTAAATATTAAACACTTTCCATAATTCAGGACTAGTTTAGTGGAAATAATTTAGGTCCCATCCATGTGGGCCTCCACATGCCAAAACTAAAATTGGCTAGGAAAAAATAAATTTATTAAAAACCATACCAGAGAGAACAACAAAACTCAAAAATATACAGTTCGTACCAAATAAACTTTTAGTCACGTGATTTAAGCTTGTGCGGCACAGCGTTGCCCACTTTTACATATTTTCTTTTAATCAAAATATTTTAGAAAGCAAAAATAAGTTAATTATAAATATATAAACAGCAATTAAAGAACATAAAGGGCCATTACTACCGCTTTCCTGTTCAAAATATTGTAATAAAAGTGCGGTGATTTTTTTACGGCTATTAAGCTATCTTGTACACCTAAAAAAGTTCTAAAAAGAACAATGTTCGACTGCAAGGTCTGCTAGTAAACATTTTCAAGCTTAAAGTAGCAGAACACTATTTATTTAAACCAAAAACTCAAGTAATACAAAACCGAAGCGTCAAAGCGAATGACAATGTCAGAAAATAAATAAATAAATGCGGCAACTTGACATTTTTTACAGCAGAGCTGCCACGTGAATCCCCAGCGCAAAATTTAAATTCCAGTTAGTCAGCCCGGCGCCGAATATATCCATGGTTGGCAACAATGATTTTAAAAATTGTGCCCTCGATTGCGTAACTAAAAGTTTAATTGATATGAAATATACAGGGCGTTTCAAAACAAATGCGAAAAACTTCAGGGGGTGATTCCGTGTTCAAAATAAAGGGTAGTTTGCTTTATAAACGTTGGGTCAAAAATCAACCATTAGGGAGATATCGCGGTACAAAAATGGCGGAAAAATAATGTTTTTATTTTTTATCTTGAAAACGAAAAACGATAGACTAATGAAATTTTATGGAAGCATTACTGTTATGAAAACATACTTTCTGGTAATTTTCTCACTTTTTTAAAATGAGTGGAAGGGGTTGAAATAAACTACCCTTATAATTCTTGTTAACGAAATTTAAAAAAATTCTTATCAAACACATGCAAAAAATTAATTTAGATAGCTTGGTTTATTTAGAAACTTTTTTATCTCTTGTGTTTCTTTGATAAAACTCGCCAATTTGAAATTAAAAAATAAAATGTAAAGCATTACATGTCAGGATAAAAAACATTTTTAGATAAAGAATCTAGCGATAATAGCGATAATAATAAGAATCTAGATAATAATGTATTGCAGTAGAATAATGTCAATAAAATAATATTAGAAACATCCTAAAAAGTGACAGCGGCGGACTAGATATTTTCCTAAAAAAATTAGAGCAGCCCACTAGATTCTTTATCCAAAAATGTCTTTTGTCCTGACATGTAATGCTTTACATTTTATTTTTTAATTTCAAATCGGTGAGTTTTATCAAAAAAACACGAGAGATAAAAAAGTTTCTAAACAAACCAAGCTATCCAAATTAATTTTTTTGCATGTGTTTGATAAGATTTTTCTTTAAATTTCGTTAACAAGAATCATAGGGGTAGTTTATTTCAACCCCTTCCACTCATTTTAAAAAAGTGAAAAATTTACTGGAAAGTGTGTTTTCATAACAGAAATGCTCCCATAAAATTCGATTAGTGTATCTCTTTTCGTTTTCAAGATAAAAAATAAAAACATTATTTTTCCGCCATCTTTGTACCGCGATATCTCCCTAATGGCTACCCTTTATTTTGAACAAGAAATCGCCTGCTGAAGTTTTTCGCATTTGTTTTGAAACACCCTGTATATGGTTTACTCTGTGACAATTCCTCCAGTTTTTTTTGAGATATCATTTTTATATCATCTTTCCATTGATCACATGCAATATTTTGGTATGGTTTCATAAAACTAATATTTTTTTCTTTTTTTTCCAGGTGTACATTAATTTTAGAAAAAATGAAGAGAAATAAATGAAGAAGATTACCCCAGAAGATCGGCCGGCAATCTTCCACATTTCTTAGGGTAGATTTATCTAAAAAAATTAAAAAAAACTATAAATAAATTATCCAAATCCATTAAATGTTTTACCGTCATAAAAATAATCCGTGTTTAATGTAATATTGTTACTGGTAAATGACGACGTGCAGAGGTTTAAATATGGGTCCATTTGTTTCAATGTTTGTTCTTTATATTTTATTTATCAATGAAGTTAGAAGAAAAAATACGTGTTTCTACAGTGTCACACAGTCATATAAATCCGCATATATGTTTTATTTTGTTAATTGATTTCGGCAATAGATATTGCTCTCGGGTATCTATCAAATTTGACATTTAAAGTAATAAATAGCAAAAAAATTAGTTTCATATACATATTTAACATGCATGAACCCTAATTTTCACCTACTTAAATAAAAAAAAATAATAATTTTTAACTAATAACAGCCGATTAATGTGATACACTCACAGGCTCGGAAAACGAACACCTTAAAATTTTTATGTATTTTACATTTTAATATATTGTGTTCTAGTGTACCGATTTTGATGATTTTTTAAGCAATTTGTAGCTAAATTATTTGACTGTTTAGTACTTTATTCTAAATTGAAAATGAAAGTTACCATCTGTCAATTATACGAGGGAAACAAAATATTGAGTTATTGGTTAAAGTTTGAAACACTCTGTGGAATACGTTAACACAGCAAGAAATTTATAAATAATTTTATTATCTAGGTACATCTTTTCTTGATGGTTTGTTTTTTGGTTCATCTCATTAGCTTTATTTTTGTTGAATATATTCCCTTTTGAAGAAGACATCTTAACATTTTATCTTAATTTTTGTTCTAACAGTAAAATGTTACAGAATTTCTGATTAAATGAAGGAAAAAAACACAAACCAATATAACAAAAAAAATTATACTAATACATAAATCTATTAAGGCCATAATTTTGATCTATAACATCTTCAATTAAAGCAACTATAGCAAATGCAACTTCCTAATTTAAAGCCATATCTGCTAGAGTAACTGCCGAGCAGACAATAATAATATAATTTACAATGTACTTAAACAGCCGTTAAACGGTAGCCTACTAAAATGCCGTTAATAGATATTGTGACGTCGTTCAGGTCGGCGGAAAGTAATGCCTGGACTTAAGCTTTCTGCAAGAGCACCTGTGGGTCAGTGGCTGAAGCTATCGCTTCCTAAGCGAATGCTCGGGTTCAAATCTCACGCCGACCAAGACTTTTTTATATTTTTTTTTGCTTATAGCGTGATCTTATTGCATTGGTTTCACTCTTTTTATTTAGATTGGTTTAGTTATTTGGCGGGTTGGTTAGCGTGGTTATTTGGAGGGTGTTAATTCATTGGTTAGTTGGTTATTTGGTGGGGTTGGTTGATTTTTACTAATTTATATTTGTTTTTTTATATTTTTTATCAGTGTCGAGGTTAGTTGCGTTGGTTAAGTTGGTTATTTGGTGGGGTGGATAGCGTTGGTTAGTCCTTATAAAATTTCTATATTTCATAAAGCCGTCAAGTGCGTCACATCAACGACGTCATACCTATTAACGGCATTTTAGTAAGCTACCGTTTAACGGCAGTTTAAGTACAGCTGCTTAAGGCAACTGTTACTTTTGGTTTGGTATTTACATGCGTGGAAGTAAATCGCATAGGGATCTTATTAAGTCGGAGTGAGATAAGTGCGACGGTGTGCTGTTGCGGCGTTGCCGGTATGCCTTTCCCTATCAATTAAAGTAAAATCACGATCAGAAACCGCTTATTTTTAAAAGACTTTTTTTCGAAAAGATAACTAGATGAAAATCTTTAGATATGTTTCTGAGCATCTGAAATGGAATTATAAGGATATCGTTTGGGTATCCATTTTTCTTATAACGAGAAAACATCAGTAATTGTGATAATTTAATAACTCAACTTTTTAACACATAACACGCCATAACTTAAGAACCACTTTAGAAACTTTTTTTTTATTTTGAAGATCGGATCCTTTACAATATGTTTAAATAAGAAAAATTCGACAAGGTTGATCTTTTCTATTCAAAAATTTTAAATAACCCATTTACTTTTAGTGCCAATTTTCAGCAATCGTGTAACTTTTTTATTTATAAAGATTTTCACATACTGTCTGCGAAGAAAATATAGCAGAAATATTAAGAAAGTTTTTGAAAAAAACTACAATCAATTATTTCTAATAGATTTCGAGATATTGATTTTTGAATTCAGAGTTCTAATAGCGCAATCACTGTCGAACACTAACTCAACTAACTCAATTGCGCATGCGCTGCAGAGTTCTAGGACGGTTCAGTGTCGGTAATAACAAGAACCCGAACAAAGCTATAGTTTCTCGGTTTATTTCATCCGTTTGGCAACGTGTTTTCTGTTCTCTCTTTGTCTAGTACATTATAAAACGCCATTGTACTCTTCTTACATACGGAAATCTCGACCCAAGACTAACCTTTGCCAGCCCTCAGTATGTAAGATAACACACTAGTACCATAATTAACTATTTTCAATAACAGTGACATTAGGTACATAAATCATAAAAACTACACACACCGGAAAAGTCTAGGGATATTACAATTTTATCCAGCCATCGTCAGTAATTTTCTTATTTGCATTTCTGATATAATAAAATTAAAATAAACAAATAGTTTACAGGACGTATTGGAAATAAAAATGCGAAATTTACCGAATTTTTCAAATTTACCTTGATTTTTATTGAACTCAAAAAAATACACACATTTTTTTTGTTCTAAACTGTGAAACCAAACCATTTTTACTTAATAAAGGGTATGGCCTCCTCTACTGTTCATTACAGCCCTACATCGTCTCTCCATGCTCCTGATCAGGTTGTCGATCTCTTCTTGAGGTCCAGCCTGCCACGCTGCATTCACGGCCCGAACCAGATCCTTACGAGATTCAGTAGGCATACCCATTCTCAAAATTCTTCTTTGGACCGCGTCCCATACGTGCTCGATGGGATTGAGGTCAGGAGATCGTGCCGGCCAGAGTAAGATGTTTAATTGATGAGCATTGATAAACTCACTTACCACTCTGGCTGTATGAGGCCGTGCATTGTCATGCATGAGAATGAAGTTTCTCCCAAAATCATGGGCATATGGTAACACGACAGGCTCAAGAATTAAATCACGATATGTGATTCCTCTGAGAAACCTTTCAAGAAAAACGAGATCGGTTTTTCGGCCTAACTGGACTCCTCCCCAGACCATAACTGTTCCACCTTGATAAGGGTGCACTTCCTGAACATGATCCAACCGAATAAGATTTCCCGGTTCTTTCCATACCCTAAGCCTTCTCGAATCCGGATGAATTCCAAAGCGTGACTCATCCGTGAAGAGAACATTGGCGGCCCATTGTTCATTCGACCACTGAACATGATCTTGAGCCCACAAATATCGTACCTCTCGATTTCCTCTCATTAAGGGTTGAACTCTCCAGGGGCGTCTGCTTCTTAAGTTGACCTCTCTTAATCTATTGCGAACAGTGTCAGGACTAACGGTTACATTATGTGTTTCTTGGAGAATTAAACTAAGCTCTGGTGCTGTAAGAGTCGGTCGGCGTCGAGCATTTAATTGTAAAAAATGATCTTGCTGAGGGGTAGTAATGCGATGTAACCCTGTGTGCCTTTCATTTTTACGTGCACTTAATCGCGATATTACACTTTGCGTTGTATTTAATGCTCTAGCTACGTCGATTTGGCGCATTCCAGCTTCAAGCATACCCATGGTCCTTAGCATTTCGTCGCTGTTAAGATGTCTACGCTCCATAATGTCGTTTAATACTAAACAGAGTTATTTGAATGAATTCTGGCCAGTTATCATAAAAACATAGCCAGTACAGGTTAAATTCGAACAATTGGCGCTAGGTGCTTTTTATACATTTGACAAAAAATGCACAAACACTTCTGCAAATATCCCAAATTTAGAAATAACTAGTGTGACCACTTCGTTTCAATCGAAGTAATAAGAATCGGTCTACAAATATGTGGTTGTTTATTCAAAACATTTATTTTTAACTTTAATAAAATAATATCCCTAGATTTTTCCGGTGTGTGTATTTTATATGTCTGTTGACTAGGAACAAAAGCAAAGTCATATGGTTTTAATGTAAAAATTACGAAAAAAATGCGAGTGTGTTCTACAAAAGCTAATCATTTTTAATAATATATTTTTAATTTAAATTCCTTGCTTTGTTAACATATTTCACAGGGTGTGTCAAACTTTCACCAATATATGAACGTTTTGTTTTCCCTCGTATAATAGATAAATGGGAACTTTCATTTTAAATTTAGAATGAGATACTAAAAAGTGAAATAATTTACCTACAAACAACTTAAAAAATCCTCAAAATTGGCCCACTAGAACACAGTATATAAAACTTTAAATTACATCAAAATTTACTAATTTTTTTTTAAGGTACATGTTTTTTTGTACCTTTGAGTGAATAAATTCGCATATAATGCAGACTTTTTCTCTGACACTGTATATCAGTATATCAGTATCGTTAGTAACTTTTTACTAGTAATTGTTTAAATTTGTCTAACCGACGAAAAATGCTTCAATAACAATTTTTTTTTTCTAACTTCAACCAAAGTATTATTATTAACTCAAACTAATGAATCTTTGTTCGTGTTATTTGTGCTCTCGAATTTATTTCTATTCCTCAAACACTATAACATATACACAAAGAAAATATACGTAATACTAAAGAAAAGAAAACTAGCTATATTATATTGAGATTTAAGCACAGAACTGAAAGAGAAAAATTTTAAAATAAAGTTATTTGTACATATTAAATAAGAGAATTCGAATTTTTATATTTCTTATCGATCTAAATAATATAATTTAATTATAAAAAAGCTTATTCTGGTATATCGTTTATTTATTTTCGTATAGCAAATATTGTATATTTATTAAAAATGTACGTTTTGACAAATCAGTAGCTTGTAATTACGATCATTTTTAAATCAAAATATTCATGAAAAGTTGTTTTTAATAAACCTTATTCAGAACCACAAAATTAGGGGAATAAATTAGTGGTTTCAATTATACTTTATAGTCATTTGTATCTACAGGGTGGCCCATCGAAAACGTTCCGCAAGGCATAACGGCCAGGGTATTTATTTTTTCAAAAAATCCAAAAATCCAAAAACACGCCAATTTTGTTTGTGAGGGGGGCAACTTTTGCTCCAAAAATGATTGCAAAATCTTCAACCCTCTAAGCG